TAATTAAATTATTAGGGAAAAATAACTTACAATTTGTATTGATTTTAAAGTTTCATTTAAGAGTGTTGCTATAGAACTGGCGATAAGCGTAACAAGTATTAGGAGGAACAACTTCATTATAAGTTTTTTTCCGTACAGAATTATAGTGCTTTTACAGGGTTGACAGAATGGTCAATATACGAGGTCACTGCAGAACTAGTGACGGCGTGGAAGTCAGTGATTAGGGTTGTTTGAACAACTTATCAGTTGATTACCGCTCCATTGCGAACATCTGGGAACGTTAGGTCTGTTTAACAAAACCTTTCAAATGATTGTCACTTAGACGCCTGAGAGTGGCTTTTTAAAAAACGTCAACAATATTTCGCAAATCTGAACTGATACCATAAATTTCAATTCGCTAGCTTTTTTTCTGAATTAATCTCAAATAAAAGTCAATTTCAGAAACTTTTGATCTTTTTCAAACTATACATTCTTTGTTTTTCTTTTTATGTTATTGTCTACAAATCAGGGGAAACAGGGGATCTCTGCAGAAATAAACTTATTTAAAATTGAAGTGGTTTATAACATCAAAATCAAGTAAACACTTTAGTGATCAGTACCGTAACAAATGATCACTCTTATTCATGATTAACATCCAATTAATAATATAATTTTTTATGTACCTTAAATAGTCCAAATTTGAACAAAAGTATGGTATCATGGTTCTCAGCCTTTTTTGCTTTGTTATTCTGATACTGTTCCAACAACTGACTCACCTCTCAATGATGAGTTGCAGTCTTCCTGTTATATGGTTTCTTATCGCTTTAATTCAATCACTTTTTTGATTATCTAACAAGGCAGTGATTATCCATTTCTGCATTCGTAATCATTGCTTCCGAACTGATAAACTTTTTTCAGAAAAAAAAGCAAGAAAATTAACAAAGAGATGTTCGGGAGCAAAAATACAAGAGAAATTTGTGGCAACTTCATAGAGACCTCAGAGATTCCAGCTGGAATGATTAACTGTTTTTGGCAACTGCTTTAGAGCCATGTACTGCCCTTGTGAGTCGTTTTATAAAAAAACTTCAAAAAACTTTAGCACCTGCTTGCTTTACATTAAACCTTGCGAATGTGTGACCAAACCAAATGTATGAATACTTGTTAGGTAGAGCATCTTATTAGAGACACTGTGAAGCGACTTTTTAAGAAAAACGTTTTTGGAAGAAAAATAAAGAGGAAAAAATAGTTAGATCAATAAAATAATTTTCATTATTCTTTATAAAGTACCTTAAACAAATGGCACCGCTTAACATCTTTGTGAAGAAACTGTTTTGATTACTGAAACTTTTAAAAATGCTACATTTATAATAGGTTAACTATGTTTTGCTGCAAAACTGATCAGGTATATTCAGAAGTTAAACTAAAGAAATAAAATTGAGCCATGTTTGACACTCAAACTGAAAATTTATCTTGATAAAATGATGGATGAAATTTTGAAATGCACTTTATCAATACTTCAAATAAAACTGAAAAAATATAAGCAGATTACCTAAGGTTCAAAAAAAGAAAAGTATATATAGTACGAATTAGTATTATACCATCTTTACCAAAGCAAATACTGCCACTCTTTAAATTCTCTGCTGTAAATATTCTTTTTGAAAGGCTTGGAAATAAAAAAAAACGTTTTTGTAACAGTGGCAATAACAGAGAACTGAATGGTGCATATTTGAAATATAAGCTGTTTTTTTACTGATAATTTCACGTCAAAATCTTAACCAAAAAGGGTAGCCTGCCAGGATTTGAAGTTAGCTATATAACCGTTTTTCTTCTCATTACTGTGGCTCATGTTCCAGCAATTTATTTAATAACGAGTATATTAAAATCAGCGTATTTAATTTTTTTCTACAAGCGGATTTAGATAAAAGCAAAATTACGACAGTTTTTGGCACAATGTCTACGTTGCTTCTGAAATGATGATTTACGGTAGATGCTCTGGTATAAAGTTTGCCAAAATTCAATGTATGTCTACCAAGTACTACACTTGATTAAATTTAAAAGTTAAAATACAAAAACGGCAAGTCTTGCAGTAAACTTTACAATTATATAATAGTGGTTTGAAAATTTTTAGCAAAAGTAAGACCTTCTTAAGGCTTTAAGCGAAACTAGTTGTTTTTTATTTACCCACTATGCTTCACTAATTCACATTAATAATAGCTGTAAAAAGTCGAAGAAAAACAGAGAGAATCTTTTCAAAAAGCCTAATTGAGGCAATGGACACAATATTAAGCCATGCCTGGTGCCAAGGCCCAGATATCTAACTGTCCGATACGTCGCAGCTATGATGCCTAGCCGAAATTTATTCAGATATTAGAATAATTAAAATGCCACCTTAGACCCCCGCCCTATCAGTGTTTGCCGTTGAAGCCATAAAATGTTCATTTTCTCGAGCAGTATTGGTTAGTTTCAAGTGATTTCGTTCCTAAATGATTGAAGGCACGGGTTTTAAAAAAAAGACTTACAGAGGAGCAAGAGGTTTAGAACTTTTCAAAAAATAGCAAGAAGAAGAAATAATGGCACGTCAATAAACACAAAAAAACCAAAGAGGACACAGTAGAAATAGAAAAAAAAAACTAATAAGCATGAGGAAAGAAACTCATTCTTGAACACAAATTATCCTTTTCTGTTTAGCGTCGTTATCGTTGAACTACTAAATCACTTAGTAATTTCAAAATTCAAACCAAGTGAAACTGCTCAGCAACACCAAAGCTCTCAGTTGTCGCGTATAAAATAGTACCGGAAGCCTTCTCCCCACTTCTTCTTTTGAAGTCCTTTCAACTAGCCACACGGTCGTTAAATGGGCTCATCGCTGTGTCATTCAGACTCTACTGTGGCTGTAGTAAGCTTTTTCGTATCTAGAACGTGGCGCTGCTCTTGTCTAGTTTTCCCAAATCCGCTTCATGAATTTTAGCAAAGACACTGAAATTTCTGAGCAATGGGAGAGAACTATGTCCCATACGGGGTCACATAAAGTTACATAAACATTTCAGTCGTTTGGGCTAATGTCTCGTTTTGCTTTTTTTAATGGCACCGTTGTCCTCTAAGGATCGAGCACGAACCTGTATGTCTCAACTCCTCTCCGCACTATACTTACTGCCATTGTTGTAAAGAGCACGACAAAGTTAGCTTCCCACCTTTGATATTCGTTAGTAGTAAATGTCTCGTTCGTAATAGCCAAGTGTGACAACGGAGCCTTGCGGGCAGCACTCTTTGATGTTGGCATGTATTTACTGCTGTTGCATTTTGTTTCCCGCTGAAAAGTTCCTAGCTTTGTCCAGCTTCTTCAACGTTTTTGTACGGAAGGGAAAGAGAGGCGTTTCGTCGTGTTGTTCTGGGACGTTGATTCCCTCTCATAAGTTCATTCCTGGCTGCACCATATTGCTTACCACCTTATTTCAGTGAGTTACTGCGGATACTGCTCTGAGTGGCTCTTAGATGGCTGGAATAATCAACTTTTAGTGCGATATGCTTAACGTAAAAGTTGCCCACAAGGTGGTGGACCACATCTTAATGCCCACAGAACAGAGCGGTCGCTTGCAGGTGTTTTGGGTGAAGCGGTAAC